ACTTTATTATAGTATATATATATAATTGAGATAGATTAAAGTATATATTATATAATATATATAATACATATTATATATGTAATTATATTAATATATAAATATATTATATTATATATTAATATACTAATATATATTATAATATAAATATATTATAAATATAATTAAAGTAAATATAATATAATATAATTGTAATCGTATCTTCTCTTCCCAAATTGTCCATTTTAGTGGACAATCTGAGCGTCAGTAAGGGAGACATTACTATATCGCTCATTATTGCATTATTATAGTATTATTCTACCTATTGTAAAATGTACTATTTGTATTAAAAGGAGCTGTGCGATGTACTTGCTTCGGTAAATCTGAGCGCGCTTCGACAATTCGTGTTTTCTCGACATAAAATCTCAACAGCGCGATCGCGCTGCTCGGGACTCGAACTGTTAATACCATTTGACGCGAAATTACACGAACTTGAAGAACCGAATGACTGAAGGATAGTTGTTAATTGACCCAATGGAACAACTTGTTCGGTAATAAACAATTAACGCGCGCGTTCGTTTCTGCGAAACTAGGAGACGATGCTAGGAATTTCAATCGCGTTTGAAATCGATTGGCAATGCGATTCGAATGCGACGCGCACACATTCTTCCTATTCGTAGCATACAGAAAATGCCGCGCGATGCCACAATTAACGCGAAGCGAATGAATTTATCGAACAGATTCGAACAATCTGATTACGATAATCGTCTTCGATTGTAATAAAATCGTTCCGCGGCGTCCTCGACGTTCGCGTTCGTTGTCTCTGCCTGCGACAAAAACGGCAACAAAGTGTCGATCGCGAAGCCGAACAACGGCGATTCCATGAGACCGGCGAGATCGCCGATCGGAGATTTGTTCAGCATAAGCATCGCTTTGTTCGCGAACGTTTCGACGAATTCGAGTGCCGCAGCCTTGAGGGCCTCGAGCAACGCCAATGTTAGATCAACGACGGTCTTGACGAGCCGATTGTCGGTGAGCTTGAGGCCGTTCAGGATACCGAGTTTGCCCGTAGCGATGGCGTTCGCAGCCTCGATCACGGCTTTCTTCTTCAGTATCGTGGACTCTGTTAGATCGTGGACCGCTGTGTGCACGCCGTTCAGAAATTTCTCGTTGACGGTGAGGTCGTTCGATTGCCTCATGCCGTAGCCATGCGACGACGACGACGCCGTTGCCAGGCTGATCTAGGAAGAATTTTCTGTTACACCTCTCTCTGTTCTCCGTTCGTTGTTTCGTCATTTTCGCGAGCTTCGCAATTCGTTCATCGAATACGTTCGATTTGCAAATGTTGGAAAATGTTGTTCGAACTACGTATTTTGACCGACGAAAATGTTTCTGAAACAGTTTGTTTATTTATTTAGGCTTTAAATTATTTTATTTATTTATTTAGGCTTCAAATTATTTTATTTATTGATTTATTTATTTAATTTACTTATTAAGGCTTTAAATTATTTTATTTACTGATTTATTTATTTATTAAGGCTTTAAATTATTTTATTTATTGATTTATTTATTTTATTTACTTATTAAGGCTTTAAATTATTTTATTTATTGATTTATTTATTTAATTTACTTATTAAGGCTTTAAATTACTTTATTTACTGATTCATTTATTTATTTATTAAGGCTTTAAATTATTTGATTTACTGATTTATTTATTTTATTTACTTATTAAGGCTTTAAATTATTTTATATATTTATTGATGCTTTAAATTATTTTATTTATTAATGCGCGCAAGGAAAGAGAATAATAATGAAAATACGCACGGAACCGTGTAGCGTTTGAATTGAAACTTACGAGGACGAAGACTGTCGTTAGCAACCGCATACCCGCTTGATACCCTCTGTCGAACGGATAGAACCGAATAATGTTGGAAGACCGATCACGCTCTTATATATTTCAAGCTGTCGGAGATAACAACGCGATTTTCCAAAATTTTCCGGCTCGAAATTCTAAGCATGCGTGATTACCTCGTAAACTTTCACCTTCGACACGGTATCTCTCATTTCTGATCGTTCGCTTATCGCTCGGTAACGAAAATATGTCTGTTGCATCAAGATACGACGAACGATTTACATTATTTATATTTTCAGATACGATCATTCGAGCCTCGCGGCTCATTTTTATAGTTACCGATCCTCTTTGCGGCTCGTTTTCATAGTTGCTGACACGTTAGATGGCATATATGTATATTGGGTTGGCAACTAAGTAATTGCCGATTTCAGTTATAGATGTCTCTCACTCCCATTTTTATGATATCCGTAAATGTTATATTATAAAATTATTATTATTATTATGTTATTTTTTATTATCCGTGAATGTTAGCAATTGGACAAATTGAATGCAGCGGTCAAGGAAAAACGACCAGAATTGGTCAATCGTAAAGGTGTCATTTTCCAGCAGGACAATGCTAGGCCGCACACGTCTTTGTCCACTCGGTAAAAATTGATGGATATTGGTTGGGAATTGATGTTACACCCACCATATAGCCCTGATCTCGCGCCATTGGATTACCACTTATTTCGATCCCTGGACAACTCCCTTCGTGGTAAAACTTTTAACGATGATGACGCTGTAAAATCTCACTTAACTCAGTTTTTGGCCGAAAAGGATCAGACTTTCTACGAGCGTGGAATTTTCAAGTTGTCAGAGAGATGGCGAAAGCTCATCGAACAAAATGGAAAATACATTACAGATTAAACTTCGTTCCAAGTAAAAAAATTTTTTATTTCATCGAACAAATCGGCAATTACTTAGTTGCCAGCCCAATAGTAGTTAACACTATGCCGTCCGCAGATCTTAGATATGATTCTTTTGTTTGACGCCGGCGTAATAGCTTGGAAATGTTAGATTTTTAACAAATTTCGAAGATGGCGGTAATATAAATTCCTAAAATTAGGATATGTCATTCAAGAATTGTCGTACTTAATTCTTAGTTAAATAGGCACAATGTTATAGTTAGTTTGCTGCCTTTTAACACCCGAGAAATATAGTTCAAATGTTATTTCAGTTTTTTAAAATGCCACCAAAGTTTTTGCATGGCACCAGCGTGGTGCGTAGTGTTTTCTTAACTATAATAATATTATCGCGGACGGCATAGTGTTAATCTTAACTATAAAAAAAACCTCTTCCCAAATTGTCCATTTTTGTGCGTAATCTGAGCGCGAATTCGGGAGAAATTACTGTATTCAAGGCTCATATTTATAGTTACCGATTGTCAACAACTATAAAAACAAGGAGTAAGGCTCGAATAATTCTTTTCCCCGAATCGTCCATTTCTGTTTACAAGCCGAAGGAAAATTAGAGAAAATTTGGGAAAATTAATTTGACAATAATTTACCAATAATATGTATATATATAATAATAATAATATACAATATATATATATATATATATATAATATACTAATAATAATAAAAATTTGAAATTTCTTTGAACCGTGTCGTTTCGTTTTTAAAATCACATGTTGTTTGCGGAGCGTTTATCTTCCTTTATAGTTCTTCTGATCGACGTTTCAGGGATACATTCGATTTACAAAAAGCACCAGAGACTGTTGTAAAAACGTCCGAAGTCGACTAATCGGGATTCCTTGGTTCCTCCGGTCGCGTGGAGAAATCATGGGAGTCCGGTATCCTCGAGTTTCTCGGGTTCACGAATTTTATATCGATCGGTTGTGCTCTATCCGAGTCGCTTTTGCCCAGATAGGTGTTCTCAAGCAGGAAAGCGGCAGTCATCAATACGGACACACCGGCGAAGATCATCCACATCAGCAATTCCAACGCGACCTGTTCCATAAATTATACGGTGTTCCGTTAATTGTAAATTTTCAAGTCGCACGGTTAATTCCGCGGTGTCGTTGAATGCCTCGTTGAGCTTTGGCACCGTGAGCCTCACTTCCAGGACAGCGCGAGCGATGATTTTCACGCGATCGTTTGCGGTGGCGCATTGCCAGAACATGTACGGCGCGACGATGATCAAAAGCAGAACGTCCAACGCGTTCAACAGGTACACCGACGCCGAGTTCGCCAGCGACAACGTTTTATTGGATCCGCGGAATAATGCTGTATCGGATTCTCTGTGCACGCTGAAACAGAGGGGGAAAAGCTGATTTCGTACGCTGAAAAGTTTTTTTCATAATTGAAGTAGAAGCATTTGTCATCTTGATCGTTTAACAAGATTTTTGAGATTTTAGGCACACGCCGGAAATACATAAAAAATAAGGATTAAAACGAATATTAATTGTTTGATAATTGTATTTTATTTAATAAAATATATTTAATATATAATATATTTAAATATAATATATTTAATAAAATATGTTATTTATTTAATCGCAAAAATCTGCAGGTGAACTCTATTCATCCTCGCAGAGCTGCGACGGCTGGGTATACTTTGACCCAGGGTACATAGATCGTTCACTTAATTACTCAATCTTCAGAGATGAAAATAAATAAATTGCTGTTACGTTACCAACAATAGAAAGGCTAATAAGTCTGCAAGAAATATCGTCAAAAATATGTTTTGAAAAATTACTGAACAAAGCTCGGAATTGTTATAAACATCGTCAACGGTGCAGTCGTGAAAATGAACCCTTCGTCATTCGAGGGTTAAAAAAAACGCGCTGTGTTTTACTATCTTTTTAAAAAAACATTCAATACTTGAAAAACTGACGATAAGATTTTGACGACAAGTATATAACGAGAATTTGCAGGATTTCAGAGAGGGACGAAATTAAAAAAAAATTAAATTTTTAAAAAAAGGTATCGATACCAAATTAATATCAAATATCAATATCAATATCAAATCAATATCAATATCAATATCAATATCAATATCAATATCAATATCAACATCAACATCAACATCAATATCAATATCAATATCAATATCAATATTAATATAAAATATCAATATCAATATCAAAGGTATAACCAGTATAACAATTTATATAGTTTCGTTTTAACACTTAGCCAACCGAACGGAGAGATCTCCCCGATTTTAATTCAGTCGATTAACGACCGAATTGATAATTAATGAAAAATTAGAATGATATAGAATAATATAATATATATAATCGCGGTATATATATATATATAGAATATATATAGAATAATATATATAGAATATACAGAATAATTAATGAAAAATTAGAAATGATTGCTTAGTTTTATTACGATTTGCAAGTGGTACGAATGCTGAAGAAGTAATCGATGCCATTATAAGTCCGCTTCATAATTTTTGTTTGATCGAATGAAATATTTTAATTTTATGAAAATTTTTGAGGTTCCTAGGCGCGGTCGTGGAAGTGTTAAGGTTATGTCGTTTTATGGGACCTTCGATCGTTGGAGCTCTCGAAGGCACAGCCTCTAATTCGAAGCACAGTCGCTTACCTGTTCACTTTATTGCTGATTTGATTCGCGTCGATCATCTTTGTGAAACTAACGCTGTTTGCTCGCTTCTTACAGGTTAGGGGCGAAGACATGTTATTGCCTGCAACCGCATCGAAGTATCGGGAGACACGGGAAATTTTTAGGACGCTTGCCGACGATATAAGCCAGCCAACATTGGATGATCGAGGATTGTCGAGGAATATTACAACGCCAACATCGTTGAAGTCAAGCGCGGGACTGAATGACACATCGTGGATCGAAAAAAAAAGATCGGTCGCCCTCGGTTCACACCTGTTTTTGTTTTATTGTACCGAACATAGAATATTCGAAGAAAATAGTGAAAATTTCGCTTTATTTCGCAGGAGTGTCGTCTATTCTATCCGCATCAAGCACGGAACTATTGGGTTGGAAACTAAGTAATTGCCGATTTGTTCAATGAAATAAAAAATTTTTTTACTTGGAACGAAGTTTAATCTGTAATGTATTTTCCATTTTGTTCGATGACCTTTTGCCATCTCTCTGACAACTTGAAAATTCCACGCTCGTAGAAAGTCTGATCCTTTTCAGCCAAAAACTGAGTTAAGTGAGATTTTACAGCGTCATCATCGTTAAAAGTTTTACCACGAAGGGAGTTGTCCAGGAATCGAAATAAGTGGTAATCCGATGGCGCGAGATCAGGGCTATATGGTGGGTGTAACATCAATTCCCAACCAATATCCATCAATTTTTGCCGAGTG